CAGCAGCAGCAGCAGCAGCAGCAGTAGTAGTAGTAGTAGTAGTAGTAGCAGCAGGAGCAGCAGCAGCAGCAGCAGCAGCAGCAGCAGCAGCAGCAGCAGCAGCAGCAGCAGTAGTAGTAGTAGTAGTAGTAGCAGCAGCAGCAGCAGCAGCAGCAGCAGTAGTAGTAGTAGTAGTAGTAGTAGTAGTAGTAGTAGTAGTAGTAGTAGTAGTAGTAGCAGTAGTCGTATCAGTAGCGAGGAGGAGTAGGAAGGTGAGGAGGCAGCGGAGCTGGATCCGCATAGATCAAACGTTTCAAGTCCTCCCTGGCGCTACTGAGAGAGCAGTGGGGAATGCTGCTCGTCCAGGCTATCTCATCCCATGCTCATGTCGACGGTAAGCTGCTGAGCCAACCTGGCGGAAAAGCTGGAGAGCTCCGAGGCCTGGCCACCTGCAGCCGAGAGACGCTGCGCTTGAACTTTTGCGTGGCATTCTGCTCCTCGCGAGACAGTGAGGTGGAGCAACATCTGCTCGATGATGTACTGCAACGGTGTTGACTAGTTGCCGTCGCACTGTTTGAAACTTGAGTGGCCGCACGTGGAGCTTGGTCTTGACGCTGCCGATCTTGCCCGTCATCGTGATGCCGTCCTCGGGGAAGGGAGTGCGGGTGTCGAGGTAGCAGCCGTTGGTGACGTCAGTGATCATTGGCATCGGGAGCTAAAGTTGGCCCTGGTAGCTGGACTTGACGATGCCGATGGTGTCCAGGGGTAGCCGATGACGACGGTCACGTCGTCAGACGACCTGCCGGGCCGAGCTGCGGGTCAAGGACTCCGCGCCCGATGCCCACCAGCGTAAAAGTTCTCGTCGACCTGCCAGCGCACTCCGTCACTTTACGAGGGCGACCTGATCGATGCCACGGCTGCCGCCGCCAGGACGGCGCACAGCGCCCAGCGTCGCGAAAGGGGCGCGCTGGGACTGGCCGGAACGGCCTGCCTCTCGAGCCCATGGCTGCGGCAAGCTCAACCCCTTCGAGGGTGGTGTGTGTGCGTGTGTGGACCACGTCCCCACGGTGAACGCAGCCAAGGTGGAGTGAACAGAGCAGAGGGAAGAAGAGGCAACACGTGATGTTGATGATGTTGGTGGTGTTGTTGATGGTGATGGTGGCAAGGATCATGCTGATGATGACGCTAGTGAGGACGATGATGGCAATGATGATGATCATGATGCTCATGATGATGACGATGAAGATGATGCGGATGGTACTGGTGATAATGCTGATGATGTTGATGCTGATGACCACGATGACGTTCATATTCATGACGAGGAGGAGAAGGAGGAGGATGAGGATGAGGAGGAGGAGGAGGAGGAAGAGAAAGAGGAGGAACAGTAGGAAAAGGAGGTGGAGGAGGAGGAGGAGGAAACATATGTGGCGCGGTATCGCAGCCGCCTGTGTGCTCCGCCACCCAACGGCGCTCTTTCGCTTTTCCTGGCCAGGCGATGCGCGCAGCCCCACGCGAGCCGGCATTGCACTCCAGGGCCCCGAGCCCTGGCGTCAGGGCGACGGCGCCAAGGCGGCCCTCCTCTGCACTCCACGCTCCGCGTCAGAGCACGGAGGGGCGGCGGCGGCGCCCGCGCAGCTGCCCTCCGCACCGCAGGGCCTGTTTAGAGAGGTTCGTACTGTACCCGTACATATATAGTTGCCGCCGCGCATTCGCTTGTGTGTGCGCGTGTGTGTGTGTGTGTGTGTGTGTGTGTGTGTGCGTGTGTGCGTGTGTGTGTGTGTGTGTGTGTGTGTGTGTGTGATCTTCGCCGCCCGCGGCGGCGCGCAGAAGGTGGTGGCGCGAGGGGGGCGGCCTTCGAAGACCCCTGTCCTCCCCAGAGAGTCGAAGAGCCGGACATATCGAGCAGGGCGCGTGGATTAGCGACGGGTCCAGTTTCCGTTCGGAATCGACGCGCTCCGTCGCCAAATCAGGCGGCACGGGCCTCACGCTTTGGGGGGTGGCTTCCCTGATCCGTGGATTTGGCGGTCTCGCGCCAGATCCACGGATCCGTAATCCATGTTGGCGCGAGCCCGAAGGAAACCGCGTCGGAAGCCTCCGAAACCTCCCGAGAAGCTCCCTCGCCGTCTCGGCGTGCCACCGCCCCCTCTTGCCGCAGCCCTTCCTGTGAGCCGCCAGCAGGCGTCGCGCACCTCCTGGCCTGTTCGCCGGCCCTACAGCCCAAAGGCGTTGTCAGACGAGGGGAGCTCGTCCCCCTCCCGGCACTCCGCTCTCCTGCCTGCTTAATCTCGGACGTGCCAAATGGTAGGGCCTCGGGCTGCGCACGCACGGCTCTCCCAGGCAGTCCTGGCCTGCCCCTCCAGGTAGCACAGGGCGGTCTCGACAACCTGGCGCTGCGCGCCCCGCAGGGAAGTGGTATTGAGACCGCCCGGGACCGGTCGAGGGGCCTGTCGAGGCCAGCGGGGGCTGCCTGGGGGGGCTGTCTGTGCGCAGCCCGAGGCCTTCCCAGTCTCACAACGGTGCGGTGACTCGAAGAAGAAAGAACTCCATAAACAGAAACTTTTGGCGCTCCGCGCTCCGCGCTGGGCCCCCCCCTGGCGGCGCCTCCGGCGGCGCCCCTGGCGCGCGGAGCGCGCCAGGGAGGGGGGTCCAGCGCAGATCCAAGAAATCCGCGCGGAGCGCCAACAGCTTATATCTGTAGTCTTCTTTCTTCTTCCAGCACCCGCACCACCAGGTGAGTCAGCGGGGATTCGGCGTGACCGCGCTGTTCGGGACTTGCTGCGTTCTCCGAGCATCGCTCGGGCGGCTGCGGTCTCCAGGGTGCAGACGCCGTGCGGCGGCGGACCGTGCGGTGAGGCCTCGGGGTGGCTCCGGGGTCACCGCACGGCCTGGCGCCCCACCGTTGCGGGACCCCCGGCTGCCGGCGAGCACGTCATTGCACGGCCACAGCCGTTCGGAGTGCCGCGCGCATTTCTCCCCCTCCGCGGCGCGCTCCGCGCCCCGAGGAGGGGGGGGGGGCAGCGCCGATGCAGGAAGCCCGCGCGGACCTCCGAACGTTTGTTCAAGACGCCTCGCGATCGCGGCTCGGTCGTTCCAGTTCTCGCCGGAAGGGGCGCGGATGGCGAAAAAGACTCCCGCGTGTGTGTGTGTGTGTGTGTGCGTGTGTGTGTTTTGTTTTTTTTTCCTGCGCTCGATTTCTTCTCCATCCCACCGCAGATTGGGCTCAGGTGTGCCGTGCTGCTGACCTGAGCTGAATTTGTCGAGCAGTCGTCGGCCCGTCATCATGCCCGACGGATCAGCGGTATGGACGCTGGCTCTCTGGAGCCCGTACTCCTCATCCAGAGCAGGAGGCCAGAGGCAGCCAGAGCACGGCCCGAGACCACCGAGCGAGGGCCCGAAGCAGCGGCCAAGAGGGCGCCCACGAGGGCCGCAGAGGGCCCCGAGGAGGGGCCCCAGAGGGGGCCAACGAGGGCACGAGCTGGCCCCTCTGGACGGCCCAAGCGAGAGCACCACCGCGCTGGGCCGCAGCCGCGTCCACCTGCCGTCAAAAGCCGGGCCAGCTCGGGGTCGGTTTTGGCTTCGTCGGGGGGTCCGAGCTGGGCCCAGCACCGTCAAGCATCGGCCCTGGAGCGCGCCCCAAAGCGCAGGCGCAAGTCGCATTTTTGACAATGTCGCAGACGAGCCGGACAGTTAGCCGTTCGAGGCGTCCTGGCGACCCCTGGCGAGGTTGATATCATCAAACGCTGTTGGTTTTTGATGCATGTTTGAAGTTTCGCGTTTGCAAGCGAAGTTGGGCCCAAGAGGCGCTCTCGAGGGCCTCGGGAGCGAATTTCGGAGGCAGCAAGGGGCCCACAAAGGGGCGAACATGAAGCCAAATTGCTCCCCGAGGGCGTGCTGGGAGCGGTCTGAAAGTCGAGCTCGTCTTGGACGACGTCTGGCAGGCGTCTTGGGGCCCAGAAAGCGGCATTCACGCAGACGGGCGGCGGAATGGCGGAGGCCTCTGGGGGGGGGAATGCGGGGCGGGGCTAAGGCCTTGTAAGGAGCATTCGAACTAAGTTTCTCACGCCCTCAGCCTGATGGGCGGGTGAATTCAAGAGGCTTGCGCCATTCCGCGACCCCCAGAAGAAGTGATGTGCGGTTTTCGATTTCGTATGCGGTTTTTGCAGCTTTCCGTCGTGCTGCATGCGTGCAGTTGCTGCTGATTCGGCCTCTTCCTCCGCGTCTGTTGCGGGGGGGACCTCTTCGAGGCCCAGGGGGGCAGCCACTTTTCAGGGCGCTTGGATGCTTTCAGGGCCCCCCTGGGGGGCGTCTTGGGAGCATGTTGTTGGTCTGGGGGGCCATCATATGAGGGAGCGCTCCCAGGGTCCCTGCGAGTTCCCCTGTCGGGCCCCTCTTGGGGCTCTCTTGAGGGCTTTTTTGGTCGTCTTGCGGGCCTCTTGACCCGTCGTAGGGGCCTCTTGGGCATTGTTCGGCCCTCTTGGGGGCCTCACGGGCCATCTTGGGTAGGTCTGGGGGGCCTCTTGGGCCGTCTTGGATTCCCCGAAGCGAAAAACAGTGCTGACGTGCAAAGTCTGTATGACAACTCATGGGAAGACATGATTTTTTGCCCCTTAGGTCCAATTCGGGGGTCCTCTTGGGGCCCTCTCGGGGCGTTTCGGGCCGTCTTGAGGCCATTTAGGTTGTTCTTGAGGCTGCTCCGACGTGCTGGAGCCCTCGGGCAGCCACTTCGGGCGTCTTGGCGGCCCACGGAGGGCGGATCTGGAAGCTCAGAGGGCCCCGGAGGTGCGTTGACGAGCTCGTGCCCCCCCCCCCCTCTGGCCGCCCTCCCTCCTCTAGCAGGATGGCTAAGGGAGGCGCGGGGCATCAAAACGTCTCACACGCCCTTCCACCCTGGGCAGGCGGAGGTCGGCGGATGTCTGTGATGATGATGCTGCTGTTGCTGCTGCTGGTGATGATGATGCTGCTGATGATGATGCTGGTGATGGTGGTGGTGGTGATGATTATGACGAGTGTGATTATGATGATGATGATGATGATTGTGATGTTGATGATGATTGTGATGCTGATTATGATGATGATTGTGATGATGGTGATGGTGGTGATGATGATGCTGATGCTGGCTGCTGCTGCTGTTGATGCTGCTGCTGATGATGCTGCTGATGATGATGATGCTGATTATGCTTAACATTGTTCTTATTCGTATCAATCTTGAGTATTTGTATTATCCGTATTTGTTCGTATTCGTATAATGAACACTGTTAGTAATATTAGTCTAATCATTTTTACCGTTCCTATTCGTAGAACGTATTGTTGTTAGAACGTATGATAGTTATGATTGGTATTGCTTTTGTTGTTGTTATTGTTATTGTTTTTTATCAGTATTGAATATTTGAGTGTTTCCAGTTCTTACCCGTATTATTTGTATTACCATCATCGTTCGTACGTTTGTTATTAGTTCTACTATTACTACTACTACTACTACTATGATGAGGGTGATGTTGATGATGATGCTACTGTTGCTGCTGCTGACGCTGCTGATGATGATGATTACTATTCTTCTTCTGGCCTCGGCTACGCGCAATATTAACCCTTTACCGTGGTGTCCTTTGGTGTGCGGCTTTCTGGGGGGCACGGGGGGGGAGACAAGCCCACGGACGCAAACAGCGCACCAAAGGGCGCCCTTGCCTGGAGTCTGAGTGCGGCTGACCGCCCCACGCGGAGTTGCTCGTCCTCTCCCTACCCCCTTCCCTCGAATCTCCCGTGGTGCGGGTGCCGTGCTCTTGCTCAGGACTTCCGCTCCGACATCGCGGGTCCCCTTTTGCTCTCGCGCGCACTGTCTGATTGTTTGCCGTCTCTACCCCAGGGAGCCCGGCTTTTTAACACGCTCCTCGTCCTCCTCCTGCTTCTTCTCCTTCTCCTCCTCCTCCTCCTCCTCCTTCCGTCGCCATTTTGGCTCAAACTTCGAAGACAAAAAACTAACATAAACCTACGCTTTCGGCGGTCCGCGCGGATTTCTTGGATCGGCGCTGGACTCCCCTCCCTGGCGCGGGGAGTGCGCCAGGGGCGGCGCCGCAGGCGCCGCCAGGGGTGCCCAGCGCTGATCCAAGAAATCCGCGCGGAGCGCCGACAGTTTATGTTTATGTTTGTTTCTTTGCTCTAGACCCGCGGGGGTTCGGCGACTTGAACTTGGTCGTAGCCGTGAGGTCCGGTTCGAAGCAGGATCTCTCTTTCTCGCGATCCACAAGAGTGAGCTTTCCTGCCCTGATGAGTCCTGCCGCGACACTTTGCCAGCGGCGCAATTGTTCGAATTACGCCAGTTATGCCGTACCTTTGTGATCATTAGGCAAGACGCTGGCGGTGTCACCAAAAACGTGTGATGACAGTCGCTACCCTTCGCCTGTTGATCGTCGGGAACGGGATCGTGATCGACGTAGCGGCGGGCGTTCTGATTCTGCTGATGACGATGGTGATGATGGTAATGCTGATGATGCTGATGCTGATGATGCTGGTGCTGATGCTGCTGATGCTGCTGCTGATGATGATGGTTGTGATGATGCTGCTGATGATGATGCCGATGCTGATGCTGATGCTGATGCTGATGCTGATGATGCTGATGATGATGATGATGATGATGATGCTGATGATGATGATGATGATGACGATGCTGCTGCTGCTGCTGATGATGATGATGATGATGATGATGAAGATGATGAT